AGTAACAAGGATATAATCCAACAAACCAAGAACATGCTTAAGGGTCAGTTTGACATGAAAGACATGGGTCTTGCGGATGTTATTCTTGGTATTAAGATTACAAGGACTTCTGAGGGTATCACCTTATCTCAGGAGCATTATGCTGAAAAAATACTTGAGCGTTTCAAGAATTATTCGAATGGAACTGCGAAAACTCCAGTGGATACACAACTGCACTTGACTAAGAACTCTGGTGAAGCAGTGTCACAAGTTGAGTATGCAAGGGTTATTGGAAGTCTGATGTACTTAACCAATTGTACCAGACCGGATTTAGCACATGCAGTGAACGTATTAAGTCGTTACACAAGCAATCCTGGTCATACACACTGGAAAGCCATAACAAGAGTGTTAAACTATGTGAGACACACTAAAAGTTATGGATTGCACTATGGTAAAGAACCTGCAGTCTTGGAAGGATACAGTGATGCAAACTGGATATCAGACTCAAAGAACTCAAAGTCCACAAGTGGATATGTCTTTACACTAGGAGGTGCAGCAATATCTTGGAAATCTTCCAAACAAACTCTACTGGCAAGATCAACAATGGAATCTGAGTTCATCGCTTTAGATAAAGCAGCAGAGGAAGCAGAGTGGCTTCGGAATTTCTTGGAAGATATTCCAATGTGGGAGAAACCAGTACCGGCACTGCGTATACATTGTGATAGCCAGTCGGCTATAGCCCGGGCACTGAATACTCTCTATAATGGCAAATCTCGTCACATCAGGAGACGACATAAAACCATTAGACACTTGATCACAACCGGTGTAATCTCGGTCGATTACATTAAATCAGCTGATAACCTAGCGGATCCGTTTACAAAAGGTTTGACAAGAGATCAAGTTTTGAAATCATCTAAGGGAATGGGTCTTTTGCCTATGACAAAAGAGGATGTTTGATGGACACCCAACCTTCGCGATTGGAGATCCCAAAAGGCTGGTTCAAAGGGACAACTAAGTCAAACAGATTCTGTTTACAGCACTGCAAGACAATATGTCTGATCCCAACTCCCAAAATGATGCACAGTGCTTCCTGTAAGTGTTTAAGGATAAGCGTTGCTTTTAATGATATGAGTAGCTTTCATATATATACGGAGTATTAACAGGATACTTTTCTTATATGACAGGAGCTCAACGAAATCACCTAGTGAGTGTGAAATGAGGCCGTTTCTAGGAGGATGAAGTCCAGGCTATATTCTCTAAGTTCACTCACGATCAACCAGGCAAAGTTCAAGGCCACAATGAACGCAATAGAGAACTAAGTTCTACGAGGAAATGAAGCTGGGTTATAGCTGTTGTCTCGGATTACATAAACATCCAGGTGGTTCAAGACATCATGTTCACCTCCTGGCTAAGTAAACCCGACAGATATCAACAATGAGTGGTTCAAGGCTGAAATATGCCACTATCTCATACACAGTTAATTTTCGCCTATACTCTCGAAAGTCCTTCTGTCGTGTCTGTAGAGTCTGCATGTATAATCTTTCGAGTTAGTAGAGTCTGCATATGTTTAGAGTCATTTCTCTTCATGTGGGGGATTGTTGGAACCAAATTTAAAGTCCTCATGGGCTGAATAAATTGTGGACAAATGTGAAAAGAAATGGGCTTAGGCTCATGTAAAATGAATGAGAAATTTGAGTGAGTTAAATGAAGGAGTACTTGATTTTGTCCCACATTGGAAAGAAGGAACTTTTTCCTCTTGTTTAAATATAGACATTTCCATACAATGTTCAATAGCATTTAGTGGGAGACTATGGACCTTGAGAGAAAGGGGGCCATTATGCAAAAAAAAACCACACGCGCGCGCGCCGCCGCCGCCGTGCCGAGCCGGGCCGGGCTCGGGTCTTGGGTCTTGGTGAATGTGGGCTTCGCCCACAAATTCCTATCAAGGTTTTTGCTAAAGCCCTACCCGAAATTGCATAATGTGTAGAATAAATCTTCCAGAAGATTGAGTTCGTTTTTCGGTTTCCTTGATAAACTCGAAAAGATATTCGGAATATTTCCGTATCCCTTTCGATAAACATAAAGGAGAATATCTTGCGGATATTCCTTCCTTGCCGACCAAGTCTTCTCACAGCTATAAATAAAGGGCCTCACCCCTCTCATTATTGATTCACTCGAATATCAAAACACTCCATCAAAAATCTCTCGCATCTCTTCTCCTCTAAACGTAAGTCTCGAGAGTATAGCGTAGTTATTTAGTTCGTAGATTCTGTAGTCCGGTGTTGGGACTATAGTCTCACGTAGTTGTATCCTGGGATTCAAAAGTCTCATGCAAACCGCCACACTGCGGGAGATTTATTGAGTTAAGGAAAGAGATCAAATCTCGCCTCTGCGTAATTCGTCTATTTCCAATCGTATTTTTAATTATATATTATTTATTATATAAGATTTTATTTCGTGTTTTCCAATCTGGATTTTCGCGGTCCTACAGTCTTAACTCAATAAATCCGATCTTCCTTATCGCCTGAATCGGATTGGAATATAGCGAAACAGTTTTTTCTTATATGATATATAAAACGGTTTGCTTATAGATCTAAAACAGTTCTGCGAAAGCTCTCTAGCTATTCAGCAGAAAGTTTCGATCTCAAAAAAGACGAATATCATTACTTGATAAAACGATTTACGCGACAGCTTTTAGCAGGATCGCGAAAACGTTTTTTCAACTTTATTATATCTGATCTCTGATCTAATATAACGTTTAAGAGCAAGTCTCTGTGAACTTAGCGAATATTTTCGCACACCCCACAATACTGACAAAATCTGTCTTTGTGATACAGATCCATAATGTCTGGTACTGCTAATGGAACCAACGGGACTGCTGGGGATCAGCCTGCGGCTAATGTCACGGGTCAACTGGCTGCACTCGCTGCACCAACTTTGCCTAGTAACATAAGCGCAGCACTTTCGCCTGACAAATTCGATGGCACGAATTTCAAGCAGTGGCAACAGAAGATGCACTTCTTCCTTACCACGCTGAACCTGGCAAAATATCTTGTTGAGACAAAGCCTGAGGTGCCTGCTACTCAAGAGGCAAACCCAGATCCACGAGTACACATGACTCTGGAGAACTGGAACCAAGGAGATTTCCTGTGCAAAGGTTACATTCAAAGTCGCCTGGTGGATCAACTGTTCAATGTGTACAGTGAGGTCAAAACATCCAAGGAGCTGTGGGAAGCCTTGGATAAGAAGTACAAGACGTTCAATGTGGGCTCAGGAAAATTTGCTGCTGCAAAATTTCTCAACTTCGTAATGGTGGACTCAAAACCCATCATGGACCAAGTGCATGACCTGCAGATGATACTCCAAGAGATATCAGATGAAGGGATGAAGATCTGTGAGACTTTCACAGTGAATTGCTTCATTGAGAAGTTACCCCCTGGATGGGCAGACTTCAAGAACTATCTTGCCTTCAAGCAAAAGGCATTGACTTTGGCCAACTTGGTTTCCAGGCTGCAGAATGAGTCACTGAAGCGTGAAAAAGCTGAACCAGTTCAGACTCATGATGCAAATGTGGCCGAATTTCGCAACAAACCTAAAGGCAGGTTTAACCCCAACAAGGGTGCACTCAACAAGGTTGCTAATCAGGCCTCCACGGGCTTTAAGAAACAGGCCCAAGCCCACCAATTCCCAAAGAAGAAATCTGGATTCTCAGGGAAGTGCAATCACTGTGGCAAGGTTGGACATCGCGGAGCCGATTGTCGCAGCAAGGCCAAGGAGAAAAACCAAGCCAACTTGACAGAGTCTGACATGGTGGCTGTTGTTACAGAAGCCAACATGGTTGAAGAGAATCCGGCACTATGGTGGTATGACACTGGTGCTACCACACACATCTGCATTGACAGACAGATGTTCAGCACATACCAGAAAAGCAAGGGAGATGATCGTCTGCTGATGGGAAATGTGTCCCACTCCAAGATTGAAGGCACTGGAAAGGTGGTCCTGAAGATGACATCTGGAAGAGAGCTCACACTCAACAATGTGAAGCATGTTCCAGACATGAGGAAGAATCTGATTTCTGGCACTCTGATGAGCAAGCATGGATTCGCCATCAACTTTGAGTCTGACCAGCTGATTCTCAGGAAACATGGTGTTTTTATAGGAAAAGGTTTTGTTAAGGATGGACTGATTAAGATGTGTGTATCTCCAGTCCAAAGAAACAATGTTGTACCTGTTTCCAATGATTTGATTAATAAGAAACCAGTTACTTATTTGGTTGAGTCTTCTAATATTTGGCATGAAAGATTAGGACATGTAAATTATAAGTCCATTGAAAGACTTATGAATTTGAACCTAATTCCGAAAAGCAAAATAAGCAAAGACAAATGTGAGATATGTGTACAAGCAAAACTCACTAAAACACCATCTCCTCATGTCGAAAGAACAACTGAACCTCTGGGACTAATACACACAGATTTGTGCGACTTGAAATATGTACAAACCAGAGGGGGCAAAAAGTATTTTGTGACTTTCATAGATGATTGTACAAGATACTGCTACGTCTACTTGCTGCGTAGCAAAGATGAAGTTTTGGAAAAATTCAAGGAGTACAAGACTGAAGTTGAAAACCAACTGGGCAAAACCATTAAAATGGTTAGAAGTGATAGAGGAGGTGAGTATGATGGACCTTTCAATGCCTTCTGTCAAGAGAAAGGCATCATACATCAGACCACTGCTCCCTATTCACCAGAATCTAACGGAGTTGCAGAAAGAAAGAATCGAACTCTGAAAGAGATGATGAATGCAATGTTGCAGGAATCTGGGCTACCGCAGAATCTGTGGGGGGAAGCTCTGCTAGCCACAAACTATATCCTCAACAAAATACCACACAAAGTAACTGGCAAAACGCCATATGAGTTGTGGAAAGGTTCAGAACCTTCTTACAAATACTTGAAAGTGTGGGGGTGCTTAGCAAAAGTTCAAGTACCGCCTCCTAAGAAGGTTTCGATTGGGCCTAAAACGGTGGACTGTATTTTCATTGGATATGCGCACAACAGTAGTGCTTATCGGTTTCTGGTACACAAATCAGATATAGCCGATATCCATGCAAATACAATAATCGAATCAAGGAATGTGTCATTCTTTGAGAATATCTTTCCATGTAAAGATAGGCAGAAGCTGAAGCGAACTCATGACGCAATTGTGCCTGCGAATGAGGCTAGTACATCTGGTACTTCAGTAAATGAAGCAGAAGAAAATGAAGTTGAACCTAGGCGTAGCAAGAGAGTTCGTAAGGACAAATCATTTGGTGAAGAATACTTAGTGGTATTTCTCTGTGAGAATGAACCAAGGACATATTCTGAAGCCATGTCTACACCAGAAGCAGACTTATGGAAAGAAGCTGTAAACAGTGAAATGGATTCTATTCTGCAGAACCATACTTATATAATCACTGATTTACCTCCAGGGTTTAAAGCTTTAGGATGTAGATGGATCTTCAAAACGAAGATCAAAACTGATGGAGCTATTGATAAGTACAAGGCAAGACTTGTGGTGCAAGGATTCAGACAAGTCGAAGGTCTAGACTTCTTTGACACTTATTCTCCGGTGACGAGAATAACTTCAATCAGAATATTGATAGCTATTGCATCTCTGAGAGACCTGGAAATCCATCAGATGGATGTAAAAACAGCTTTCCTTAATGGTGATTTAGAAGAGGAAATCTATATGAAACAACCTGAAGGTTTCGTGACACCAGGTCAAGAACACAAAGTTTGTAAACTTGTGAAATCGCTGTATGGATTGAAACAAGCTCCGAAGCAATGGCATGAAAAATTTGACCATGTGATGATGTCAAATGGATTCAGTATCAATGAATGTGACAAATGCATCTACGTCAAAAACACTCCCAGCGGGTACGTTTTGCTGTGTCTGTATGTTGACGACATGCTCATCATGGG